AATGACTGACTGAATGGAAATGACAATAAATGAAAATGTAAAACGAAAAAGCGATCATGAAAATGTTTCCAATAAATGAATAAAATAATTTTTCACCATTTTGTCGTTCAGATATATCACATATTTGTAACTGAATGATGCATTAATTGAAACAAAACACAGTATAAACTGAGGAGTGAGTCCCGTGAGTTTCATGTGTTTTCTTCACTCCGCTGGGAAACTGCTCTCATGTCAAGAAGCATCAGATCAGTGCATGCGCTGCATCGTTCAATCAGTGAGCGATACACAGTAAGGGGGCGGGGAGAGTCTCTGAGGATTTCATCGGAGGATGGTCTGGTGGTTCCTCGGTTATCGCTCCTCCATTATCGCTCCTCGCTCCTTGATCCTCGGTCCTCCGGCAGAAATAAGAGCCATGGGACGCTACTCAAGGTGGCGCAGACAAATCAACTTCCGGTGATACCGACGACCGACGACCGAGGAAATGAAAATAGTCGACCTGAGACGCAGCCAAAGTCATTCAAACTAGCTGCACCTTTACCAGCTTTGAGAACACTTTAATGATCAATCATTATAAAACATATCATATATATTATTCTGAAATGGAGCCTCAGTGACCTTTGAGATATCACCCTCTTTCAATCCCAAGAAAACATTCCTCCTCAAAGACACATTCACCTCCGACAGACTTTCACTTGTGGACTAGAGTTATCCTGTGGATGAACTCAAGAAACACTATCTCCGCCTACAAGGCCTTCCCCTTCCCTCTTTTCCAAAGTGCAGCCTCTCCTACTAATAGCTGCAGATAACTTCCACCTCATTACCCCAACCAAAAGAGTCTCTTTCGGTCCACAGGGGGCACCAATAGCCCTCCAGCTAGGTTCAAATACAAGATCTCACTCCTCACCCATCAGTGCATCCACGGGAATGCTCCTTCATACCTCAGAAATACTCTCCTCACAAACCTCCACACGCAACCTCCATTCTACAACAAACCATCTGCTTTCCCCCCCAGGACCAAACTCCGCACTGTAAGAGTCAGGAGGACTGATAATTTATTCCGGCAAATTACTCAGACCTACTAATTAACCTAACCGAAGTTATTGAGCCTATGTAAGTTTGCGGCTTGGCTCAGATCCACCAACGTCAGCAAGATCTCACCTCTATTAACTCCCCGGAGAACCAGGTTCAATTAACTGCTGTTTCAATTCAGACGACCCTCTTAATCTGTTTAAGCGATCCCGAAGGATTTTGATATCAGTAAATGAGGTGTGGCCCTACCTAAGTGTGAGTGTGGCAGTGTGCAACCTTTGAAGCAGGAGAGGAGAGCGCTGATGTCTTTTAAGTTGTCCCAATCCAAAAGGTGGGATCAGTTTATTTGAAGAAAAATAGGTCCAAACTTATACAGGGTTTTTACCTTCTCTCGTTACAACATTATAATCATACTAAACATATCATGCTGGGCTTATTTTCTAATCTAAAACCTTAATTCATAGTTCACACATTAAAGTCTTCCGACAAAATCCAAAAGGAATTTCCTCACAGATCAACGGGGTTAACATCCACACCCTATGGCCTGACACATGTAAGAGGTCAGTTCCTCAAAATGTTCAGATTGAATTCCGACAGAACCCAGAGGGATCTCCTCGTAGATCGAAGGTTCTAACATTCACACACTATGGCCTGACACATTTAAGAGGTTTGCTCCTCAGAATTATCAGTTAGAAATCCTAAGTTTTAAAACTTTCATCCATCCATTCACTCAGCATTCAATACACAGAGATTCAAGCAATAGTTACCAAGTTTGAGAGAACCTTACCGAGAGCAAAAACCCAGCTCTCCAGGGAGAGAGCTTTACCGGGAGAGAGTATACCAGGGGAACCCTCCCCCCCCCCTCTCTCTCTCTCTCTCTCGTTTGCTCACTCTCTACCAGTGTCTTTATGCTCAACAACAGGATATAAAAACCCAAAGACACCTCCTCCATACCCATATTTGTGGAAACTGGGCATGGCCTCTGATGTAAAGGACTGGACATGACCAGACATATTCTCTGGCTATGGCATAAGACACACCTTCCCATGTTTGTGTAAAAAGGACATGACCCTTACTCTGCAGGACTTGCAAAATATTATTCTCGGCTACTATGACATAACCACCTTTTTGGGGCCTCAATGTATTTCTCCTTAAGTCAGGAGCCCCCCTCCCTGTGTACTGCTGCGAGGGGAGAGGGAAGAAACTGCCTCTTCTCTTATCAGTGACAGCCATAAACCATTATAGGCCTTACACTCAACTTAACAAACCACTTTGTTTATACTGTAAATATAGAAAATCATAAAATATGATGCATTTTCATTGTGGGTTATACAAGAATATAATTGATTATACTTGATTATAACTAACTTTCGTTTTAAGTATTCATCCTAATATGGAGATCTCAACAGCACCATGGGGGGGCTTTCTGTTCACCTGTGGAATTCCCTCCCAGACAAACTGAGGACTCCACAGACCACTGACTCCTTTAAGAAGGGCCTAAAAACCTTTCTTTTTTTAAAGCCTTTTATTAAACTTGTGTTTCTTTAAAAAAAAAAGAAGTATATGATGCCCCTTGTAGCACTTTGAGATTACTTTTAACAATGAAAGGTGCTTTACAAATAAAATGCATTATTATTATTCTTATTATTATCATTAGGTTGGACACTCCAAGGGCCCCCCCCTATTCAGGAGCCATCGGATGCCCCCCAGAGTCTCTTCACCCCAACTGGAACCCCCGATGCCGAACTCAGTCGTCAGGTGGAGAAACTATGGCAGATAGGTGTCCTCCCCTTTCAGGAAGAGCAAGGCATCACCAGATCCAAGCGCCCCTCCAGTCCAGTGGACCCCCTTCCAGCAGCTCATTGACCGGGTCCTGCGTCCCACTCTCAGTATGCAGATATCCGGATGACTACATCGTTCAAAGTGAGGTGTTGGGGCAGGTAAAGGCGGGGCTCCAAGCTAACCTGAAGAAGAGTGAGTTGGGGTATCTGGGGTCGATGGAGTCTCCTCTTTGGTGCCGGGATGGGTGGGAGGTGGTGGTAGGTAGCAGCAGGTGTATGTGCAACACATCTTTCTTCTTAAGAAAAGCTTTAAGTACAATTGATTGTTTTTGTTCATTTAATATTGAGGAGAGCTAACAGGAAGTCTCTCATCAGCTGCAGCCTTCTTCTTTATTTTCCAAAATGCCTCCACGCTCCTCTTCACGTCTCAAACTTGCCCCGTGATGAATAAACTGAGAACAAATAAAACCTGAGCTTACAGATTTGTCTGGAACACCAGAAAAACATGTTGAAACCTCAATAAATAAACTTCACAAGGTACGATCTCTCACCTTTCTCTGTGTCTTCACTTCCTGTCACCTGAGAGGAGAAGGAGAGAGAGAGAGAGAATGATGATGATGATAAAACAAAGAGAAACAGCCAGAATGATGAAGAGAGAAAGAAGAGTGTTGTTTTCCTCTGAGGTCACGCTCCATTAAAGAGTTTAGTATCTTCATGAATGGAGGATATGGTTTCAGTACTCACAGGTCTTCTGGATCGTGGCTCTGCTCGTCTCATCCCATTTGATCCTGTAGAGACGAACACAATCCAACACTTTGAGATCCAGTTTAAAATAAGTGTTTGTTCTTTGAGTCAGCTTCAGAGTCCTGATCTCAGGCTTTACATCCCATCATATATTCTCTGCAAACACTACGACTGCCTGCCACAGCTCTCAGCTGCATTACAGGAAGTAGCCACTCATTGGTCTAGAACAGGGGGGTCCAAACCTTTTTCACCGAGGGCCACATACAGAAAAAATATATAAAGGTCTGGGCCGCTCTCTAGAGGTTTACTGCCTCATATGTTAAGTTATAAGTCAGGAAACTCAATCAAATGAAGGTAAAGGATGCTTGTTACTTGAGGATGCTTTAAGAAACAAAACAGCTCTCAGCTCTCCAGAGGGTTTACTTTATTCTGTTAGCAGCTCATTCCTTAAAGCAGGATCTTCAGATTGATTATAATTACAGGAAATATGAAGGGTTTATTTCACGCTTGTTATAAAAATAAGTTATTGGGCTTTTTTCTTATCAAGTTAGATTTGTTAGGAAATGTTTTCAGCTTTAATTGACTGAATTTATTTTAAAGGTGGGATTATTAACACATGAATACTACTGTGTAATATATGTGTACATATATATTTAAGAAGTACAATATAAGACAAGCAGAAGTTTCCTTTGTGGGCCATATTCCATTATACTTTCAGAATTTGCTGAGGGCCGCATTTGGCCCCCGGGCCGCAGTTTGGACACCCCTGGGCTAGAAACTAAAAACATCCCATAAGAACAGACTACCTTTCCCACTCTTCTGTAAAACCCCATATGTCTGTTAGAGAGTTGATTACTAAAGTGTGGCTTTGCATGTTCAGCTGGCCTTCTGTAGTTGATGGAAGAATGAAAGAGCCTGCAGTCAGTGGGTAACATCACTGATCTGTTTCCCCAGTGAGAGAAACACCTCCCTGTGGTTCATACAATACTGCTGAACCAGCAGAGACCCCTTACTGACCTGAGGGTCTCCAGTCTGCAGTCTGGACTCTCCAGAAGATCTCTCAGCAGCTCCACTCCTGAACCCTTCAGATCGTTGTATCTCAGGTCCAGCTCTCTCAGATGGATGTTGGACTTCAGAGCTGAGGCCAGAGCTGAACAGCTGATCTCTGACAACCTGCACCAACTCAGTCTGAATAAAGAAAACATGATGAGGATACAAATCTGTTGATAATCAGATGTGTTACTCAACATTGAAATGAATGGGAACAAAAACATGTGTCTTCTTCAGAAAGTCAACTTTATCCTGTAAAACTAATATTACTTCAGATGAACTTTATTCAGACGTTATCGTTTACTAAATATTAAAAACATAGATCTACTTTTAACAACTAGCATCTATTACAGTTCCTTTGAGAATCAGTCAACATTTATCTCTGCAGTTCTTACTTTAGTACCTACAAATGAAAGTATGAATAAAAGAACATTTACAACTTTATAGATGTAAGTTAATTATGTAGAAGAATCAGGTTGAATAACTAATGAAACGTGAGATCTCCAGCAGTAACAGAGAGTCAGTGAACTGACGTGAGAGTCTCCAGTCTGCAGTCTGGACTCTCCAGAAGATCTCTCAGCAGCTCCACTCCTGAATCCCTCAGATCGTTGTTACTCAGGTTCAGATATCTCAGATGGATGTTGGACTTCAGAGCTGAGATCAGAGCAGAACAGCTGATCTCTGACAACCTGCAGTCCCTCAGCCTGAATAAAGAAAACATGATGAGGATACAAATCTGTTTATAATCAGATGTTACTCAACATTGAAATGAATGGGAACAAAAACATGTCTTCTTCAGAAAGTCAACTTTATCCTGTAAAACTAATATTACTTCAGATGACCTTTATTCAGATGTTACCGTTTACTAAATATTAAAAACATAGATTTACTTTTAACAACTAACATCTATTACAGTTCCTTTAAGAATCAGTCAACATTTATCTCTGCAGTTCTTACTTTAGTACCTACAAATGAAAGTATGAATAAAAGAACATTTACAACTTTATAGATGTAAGTTAATTATGTAGAAGAATCAGGTTGAATAACTAATGAAACATGAGATCTCCAGCAGTAACAGAGAGTCAGTGAACTGACCTGAGAGTCTGCAGTCTGCAGTCTGGACTCTCCAGAAGATCTCTCAGCAGCTCCACTCCTGAATCCTGCAGAGCGTTCTTACTCAGGTTCAGATATCTCAGATGGATGTTGGACTTCAGAGCTGAGATCAGAGCAGAACAGCTGATCTCTGACAAACTGCAGTTCCACAGTCTGAATAAAGAAAACATGATGTAACTTTAGAAAACAAAGTTCCTGTTTGAAATAACTCCAGGTTTAATAATCTGTTCAGAGTTAAACAGGGTTTTAAAGGTCTCCTATCATGCTATTTTTAGGAATATATTATGGGTCTCAGATTTACACAAATATATAAAAACATGTCTATGATGTGTTTTGCTCAAAATACCAAACAGATCATGCATTTTAGAAATCCCTCATATCCCTCTGTTTCAGCTGTTAGAGAAGAGCAGGTTCGGGTCCTTAGCTTGAAAAAAAAAAAAAAAGGAGGAGGTGGAGCTAATGCCTGCTCAGAATTCTACCAGCAGAAACTCAGCTAAATGCTGCAGTGATTAAACTCCATATTATGTTCCAAACCACATCAAGGATTCTCTCTGAAACAGCATGGAGCTCAAACTCTTTCTCTCTCTCAGGTTTACCACGAGGTGAGTTCCTTCTTATTTCCTGCTTCTTCACACATGCTCTCTCCAGTACAGGTTAGCTCTGAGTGTTAGCCATGCTAATGTAAACACAGACCATATTACTTCCAGAACACGTCTCATTGTTTCTGACAGCAACGTTTCTGATTGGCCCGTTGGTGTAAAGCCCGCCCACAATTTAGTAATGCCGTCATGACGCAGCAAATCTCGATCAGCTCCGTTGTTCCCCCGTTTTTAGAGATGTGGGTACGGTGATAAATAATGATAAACACAAACAGATCAATATGAAGTTCAGTCAGTGAACTGACCTGAGAGCCTCCAGTCTGCAGTTTGGACTCTTTAGTCCAGAACTCAGCAGCTTCCATCCTGAATCCTGCAGAGAGCTGCCACTCAGGTTCAGATCTCTCAGATGGGAGGGGTCAGACTTCAAAGCTGAGGCCACGACTTCACAGTGAGTCTCTGAGAGTTCACAGCCAGTAAGTCTATAATAAAACATATATCACAACATGTGTTAAAAAAAGAGGAAACATAATGACCTCAAGCATTTGATGAAAAACATATTTGACATGTTCTGATTGAGATTGGCTGTTAGTCCATTTTAATAATATATGATAATAGAGTGTAATGTGTTGTCAGTGTGATCTGATCACATGTCTGTGCTCCTGCTGTCACTGACTGTTACCATAGAAACAGCAATTAAATAAATCACTTGACAATATTAGAGATGTACATATTTAAATGTTAATTAATATTTAGATGTGAAAGAAGGATGTTTTGGTTTCTCTGAGCATCTGGAAATGTATTGTGCATACAAACACAGTTAACAAACCAATACAGTTTCAATATTTTAAACTGAATACCATCAGATGTTCCCAGTATATCAGCATTAAAACATAACTCTGGTATTGGTGGGATATTATATAGATCTTATTTTAAACTCTAACACATTGTGATAAAAACGTGTGTGTGTTTAATGATAAAGAAACTACTAGAAAGTAATAATAACTGATAACTGTAAGTCCTGCTGTGTGGTGTGATCACATGCTGAGAAACCTCTAGAGTCCTTCATGTGTTTGACATGTCGCCTCCATCACTCAATATGAAGAGAGAAACGGTTCAGTTTAACTATTATTATAAATAAATAGAAGAACAGTGTTGGTTTTATTTTGCTCTCAGTATTTAAACAGCAGAAATGTTATAGTGTGTATTTGAATAATTAAACTCCTGATCCACATTAGTTTATAAAGTTAATCACATCTGGACTCACACAGCCTTCCTGCAGTTCCTCACAGCTGGAATCAGTCTCCGTCGTCCCTCCAGTGATGTTTTGTACTGATTCAGGTCCAACTCATCCAGAACCTCCTCTGACATCTGCAGCATGTAGGCCAGAGCAGAGCAGTGGATATCAGAGAGTTCCTTCTCTGCTCTGTTCTCTGACTTCAGGAACTCTGTGATCTCCTGATGTATTGAGTGGTCCTTCATCTCTGTCAGACAGTGGAAGATGTTGATGCTCCTATCAGGAGAGATTGAATAACCTCTCATCTTCTTCAGGTTGCTGATGGCTCTCTGGATGGTTTCTGGTCTGTTGTCTGTGCGACCCAGCAGGCCTCCTAACAGTCTCTGGTTGGACTCCAGAGAGAGGCCGTGGAGAAAGCGGACAAACAGGTCCAGGTGGCCATTTTCACTTTGGAGGGATTTCTCCATGGCTCCCTTCAGGAAGACATCCAGGGATGGGTAATCCTGATCTCTTCTAAACCTGTTGTTAAAGTCTCTCTTCAGGAAGTCCTTCAGTACCGCTGTGTCTCTGTTGGTGTGACAGTGCAACATGTAGACTGCAGCCAGAAACTCCTGAATGCTCAGATGAACAAAGCAGTAGACTGTTTTCTTGAAGATAACTCTCTCTCTTTTGAAGATCTGTGTACAAACTCCTGAGTGCACCAAGGCCTCTGTGACATCAAGACCACAGCGCTGCAGGTCTTCTTGGTAGAACATGATGTCTCCTTTCTCCAGATGTTCAAACGCCAGCCTCCCCAGCTTCAGAAGAACCTCCCTGTCAGCCTCCGTCAGCTGCTGTGGACTTGTCTCATGTCCCGCTTCATACTTCTGCTTCTTCCTCTTGGTCTGGACCAGCAGGAAGTGTGAGTACATGTCAGTGAGGGTCTGGGGCAGCTCTCCTCTCTGGTCTGTAGTCAACTTGTGGTCCAGAACTGCAGCAGTGATCCAGCAGAAGACTGGGATCAGACACATGATGTGGAGGCTCCTGGAGCTCTTGATGTGAGAGATGATTCTGCTGGACAGGTCTTCATCACTCCATCTCCTCCTGAAGTACTCCTCCTTCTGGGCGTCAGTGAAGCCTCGTACTTCTGTTACCCTGTCCACACACTCAGGAGGGATCTGATTGGCCGCTGCAGGTCTGGAAGTTATCCAGACGAGAGCCGAGGGAAGCAGCTTCCCCCTGATGAGGTTTGTCAGCAGCACGTTGACTGAGGACTGCTGAGAGACATCAGACACAACCTTCTTCTTTCTGAAGTCCAGAGAAAGTCTGCTTTCATCCAGGCCGTCAAAGATGAGCAGCACTTTGCAGACAGCCAGCTGCTCTGCTGTGACCTTCTGTAAGGTTGGATGGAAAACATGGAGCAGCCTGAGAAGACTGTACTGCTCACCTTTGATCAGGTTCAGCTCCCTGAAGGAGAGCGGGATCACCAGACTGACATCTTGGTTTCCCAAACCCTCGGCCCAGTCCAGAGTGAACTTCTGCACTGAGAAGGTTTTTCCAACTCCAGCGACTCCGTTGGTCAGGACCGCTCTGATGAGAGTCTGTTGGTCAGGTAAGGCTTTAAAGATGTCCTGGCACTTGATTGGAGTGTCATGGAGGGTCTCTTTCTTGGAAGCTGTCTCCAGCTGCCTCACCTCATGTTGGGTATTAACCTCTTCACTCTGGCCTTGTGTGATGTAGAGCTCAGTGAAGATCCTGTTGAGGAGGGTTTCACTTTGATCAGTTCCTTCAGTCACACGTTCACATCTCCTCCTCAGACTGAGCCTATGTTCATCTAAAACCTCCTGCAGACCACTATCTGCTGGAAGAGAAGGAAACAGGAGAGAATCAGAAAATGCTTTTGAGAATATAACAATAAAACTAATAAAAACAGACTGAGTTTAAATGTTTTATAAACATTTTAATGTCTATGCTGTTCAACAGAATACCTAATAAAAAAAAAAAATGAACCAGGAAGAGGAATAAGACGCTGCATGTGTTCGGCCTCTTACCTCGTACAGTTCTGGTCTGACTGGCTGTCTGCAGTCCAGCTCTGGTTCTGTATCTTTTCCCACACTGGGGACAGGAGGGGTCTCCTGATGGAGGTCTCTGCTCACAGTATGAGGTGATGCACTGTCTGCAGAACCAGTGTCCACAGCTGGTAGAGACTGGATCCTTCAGGACGTCCTGACACAGAGCACAGCTGGACAACTGCTCCTCCACAGGAACACCACTCTTCCTCTTCCCTCTGTGGAGATGAACACATCCTTTACAGCACTTTACTTCAGAGGGGCTGATTCTCACCAAAGGTACAGAAGGGGGCACATTCTCGTTTGATATTTAAAAAAAGGTCTATATAATATATACCCTTGTGATCAGGTAGATAGCTTACAATTCACATTATCATAAAACCAGAGAGCATCCTGTCTGGATTCATCACCCAGAGGAGCACATGTTCCCTGTATCTACACACACATTATATTATATATATATATATATATACATACTGTATTAACGTGGTACACTATAAACCCAACTTGCATAGAATCTGCTGTGAATGAATAGAAATAAACATATGGAAAGGATGCCTAAATAACAACAGAATGATACTGATGTGTAAAAAGCCTGAGTTAATGCTTTGTCAGGTCTGTCTCCAACACAACGAGCATAATGTTTTTTTTCCTTTTTCTTTCTGAAGAGATGGGTTTGATTAAAGCTAGGCTAACATTAGCTGCTCCATCAACACTCAGAGTAACTTCATGAAGTCATAAGTACAGCAGTCACTATATTGTTAGCACCACAGACAGTCTCTGGTTTATTCAGGAACATTAATAACCCTGATTGAATATGAGCTGCTGTCGAGCTCTGTTCTCCTCTCTGATTCCCCTCAGACCGTCAGAGACCACCGGAGCACAATGTCAACACTGACAGGTTTTAGTAACAGAGCGTCACAAACTTTACACTCAAGATGAAATGTGTCACGCTGCACGAATACGCAGGTGATATGAATTTAACATCTTCACTTCCTTTGTGTTGCCAGGCACGGATCTGGGTCTCTGCATTGACTCTACATGTGATTTCACAAAACTCTGTTTTATCTGCTAATGCTAAACACAACCAGCTCACCAGGTTATCACTATTATTAATAAACATCTTAAAAAGAAATATCATAGATATGCCCAAGTTGTTAAATAATGTTTTGGACAATATATATAGTTTTTAAATCAGTATTTATCAACATTGTTGCTATTTAAAACCATGTTATACACAGATACAATGATAATATAATTGCATATTGAAATATCCTTAGATAATGTTAGCTTGCTCTGCTGCGTTTTCCCTTTACAAAGTGCTCACATGATTTCATTAAAGAACAGTTTCATATATTAGATTACATCAAAACTGGATCCTCTTCAGTTTACAGGAGAAACTCTTACTTTGTGTCTGAGGGTCCAGGTTCATTACTGAAGTATGGAGGAAGCCACTCTTTAGACCAGTCACTCATCAGAGACCACATGGAGACCGTAGACCCTGCTCTCTGTCTGTGGAAACAACACATGTTTAAACATCATTAGTTCATTTAAAGAGCAGCTTTTGATCTATGACTGTTCACCTGATGAAAGATGTTTAGAGTTGTTGAGTCGTGATTGTGGGTTTCTGTTGTTCAAATTCATTCGAGTGTGAAACGTTTTACATATTTGCATTTTATTTGCTTAATTTAACACAAAGTCCAACATGTAGAGAGTGAGGATCATTTCACTAGTATATTATTTACTATCTCTGATGATGACAAGAAGCAAGAGATCAATTCAACTTTGTTAAAGTACTCTACTGGGTTTCATTAAACAGTTTAGATGATCAGATACCAACAAACTGGATCCTCTTCAGGTCAGGTTACAGTGGAGACTCTTACTTTGTGTCTGAGGGTCCAGGTTCATTACTGAAGCCTGGAGGACGACCCATAGACCGGTCACTCTTCAGAGACAGATAGCTGGGGACTGGAGACTCTGCTCTCTGTCTGTGGAAACAACACATGTTTTAAACATCATTAGTTCTTTCAAAGAGCAGATTTTGACTTCTGTCTGTATGTAGATTATTTACTATCGCTGATGACGCCAGGGATCAAGAGTTTAAACTTTGTTACTGTACTGTTACTAAGTTTCTTTACTGCGATTATTAAAGAACAGGTTAGATTATCAGATAACATACAAACTGGATCCTCTTCAGGTCAGGTTACAGTGGAGACTCTTACTTTGTGTCTGAGGGTCCAGGTTCATTACTGAAGTTTAGAGGTTGATCATTAGACCAGTCGCTCTTCAGAGACAGACCGCTGGAGACTGAAGATGTGTCCTCTTCCTCATCTTTAAAACCACTCATCTTCTCCAGTCTGAGAGATAAACCAGTAACAACTCACACACACACACACACACACACACACACACACACACACACACACACACACACACACACACACACACACACACACACACACACACACACACACACACACACACACACACACACACATTTTGACTGCGCTGGGCTGTCACATGTTATGTAACTCTGATGAATCAGAAAACAGGAAATAATAAAAGTGTACAACACTTGCAGAAGTCTCATTGGACTCTAGGACGCAGATTTTTAACCAATAAGTTATTTTCTGACATCCAGTTTGACAGAGTAAATAATAAATGTGTTAAAAAGCAGATCCTGGTGTTAACACTCACCCTGTTGTTCTCCTCCTGTCGAGCTGTAAAATGGCGTCTGGTAGTCTGACTTCCTACTTTCCCCTTCCCTCACCTGTCTGCAGCTCCTCCCTCTGATTCATAACCAGCCTCACCAGCTGAACCAGTTCACACACAGGGACTTTGTTCAGTGAGATAGAAAAAGACATGCAGCTAAAAACAAGCTCCACAAAGTTATCAAAAGACGAAACAACATCCACACATCAGCATCCATAGGATATAATTCAATCTGCTTTATTTAACAAACAATGAACAGCGACTTAAATAAAAACTGTTGTAGCAAACACCGTGGTGGTGGCTTAAAGCCCACCTCCGCTACGCGCCGTTCGTTAGATGAGCCTGGTTATATTTAATAAAAGAGTTCAAAACACCGGAATAAATGTTTTAACAATAATCTGATTTTACTGGTAAAAAACACTTATACAAGTTTACAGAGCACTCTGGACTTCCAGTTCTACTGCAGTGCGATACAGGTATTGGGACCAGCCAGTCAGAAACAGGAAGCATTTTTCATGAATAAACAACAGTATTCATAAACATTTTTGGGGCGGAGATGTGTTAACTCTTCCGTCCCATTTTACTCCGAAGCGAATCAGAGAGTCCGTGGGGAGGAGCTGTGTGAGCTGCTCACTCCCCCAGGTGTTTTTACTGGTTGGATTCACTTCTGGTCGGGTCCAATACAGCGAATTAGAGTTCTGGGAAAAAAGTATGTTTCTTCTGATGGAGCGTGAGATTTTCGGAAGTACACAAGGACAGAGTCAATCTTTATCTCTGCACCTGTATTCACTCCTTTACTTTCCCAAGGAATATTTCACACAAACTATTCTTTCCCAGACAACCAAACATTGTACAC